TTCGATTCGAAATTTGATGGTACAAATTCCATTTAATTCGAATTTTCCTAATTTTTTTTTGAAGTAAAACTTCTTAATCGAGTTCGGAGATATTTGGGTTAAATATTTAAAACTAAATCATAAAATCTGTATCGTTCGTTCGAATTTCAAAAATGAGGTGTCAAATGAAAGGGCTTGCCCTGTAGATGTGTAACATGGTTTTTATTTTTATTCCATTTGTAAGAAAATCAAATTCAAATTATTTAATAAGTTAAACAAATTACCCCAATATGGGTATCAATCGAAATGATTTTTAATAAACTTTATTCTTTAACTACATATAGGAAGGTTGCCACCTGTTTGAAAAGTCGAATTTAGTTAAAGAAGTGTTGTGCTTAAAATACTATGTAACAATTAAAATATTTTTGACGTGCGCGACAGCCGAAACCAGCCGGAACCTTGGTAACATTTTCCCACTCGATGGATTTGCAAAAGTTAGCTCGTACTTTTATTTTATGGCCTACTAAAGTTTTCATGTCTCGGCCTAAGTAGTTTTCAAAAAAGTCGAAAATGGTTAAAATAAATGTCTGAGCGAAATTAAAATATATAATAAAATTTCATGGGAAATATTATCGTGAAACATTTTAACCCATTAGCTCACGCCTAAAAGGGTAATTTTGACCCTTACTTCAAGAAGTCCCGCAAAAGGAAATTGGGAAGGTCGTTAGAGGATTAATATGTTCTAGAAAAATATTCTTCGTTAAGTTTTACAAGGGGTCTTCTCAGGCAGAAGCCTCATGCTACCAACGTAAAAGTCTCTAAAAATTTAAAATAAAAAATCAAAAAAAATATTTTTACAAATTTATTTTTTTAATTGAGTTTGGATGTTCTTCCTTCTTAGCATAGATTTTTTGTTTCGAGCCAACAAACATTTGGGTTTGGGCTCAACTTGAGGTTAAGTTGAGAACTAAGGTATTTGTCAAATCTCCAACAGTTTCTCAACAGTACCTCAAGTGGGGGATCATAGCGTTCTCAACAAAAAGGGCATTTTTCTTTGTATGAAAAAGGACCGTTTCTCAAGTTGAGAAAATGCTAGTTCTCAACTTGAACTCCAATGTTATTCTCCAATTGGTCTCAAACATATCATTGAAATACTGAAATTGAAATAGTAAAATACCTTATACCTTTTTGTCCGAAACGACATCCATAGATGAATGTAAATATTAATTTTTCATTTTATTACTCCTTTTGTATTATGTAGTTAATCAATATCGTATTACAATAATTCACTTCACAGTATACAATCCGACAGTAATTTTTCCACTCGATTCACTTCGCGTTTTATTTTCTTTCAAGATTATTTGAGGATACTTTGGAGATTATTTACATTTTATTGGAAATTTCCCTCTTTGAAGATTATTCCTTTTTATTGGTAATTTTCGTCTTTATATAGCTTTCGTTTTTACTTGATAATTAAAAACTCGTTTCTCTATCACTTTTTACGTATCTGCGCGTCGGTTAGAGATGAGTTGGAGAATGATGTTGGATATCAACTTGTGAACTATGAATTTCTCCAAGGTTGGAGAAATATTTTTTTGATGTTTATTGGGGATGCATCAGATCGAAAAACATGTATTTTTTTTACTTGCATCCCTAAGGAAAATGTAGTGCCACACACAGTGATGGCACATTTAGTCAGAAAGAAGAAAGCTGAGGAGTTTTTTTTTGGGAAATAAAAATGAAATTCGATTTTTTCTAGTAAAATTCGATTTTATCCGAATTTTAGCAACACAAAGTTCGATTTCAAAAATTCGCCATTTTGAAACTAAAATTCTATTAAAAGTCGAATATCGGAGCTTCGAATATCGAATTTACCCATCCCTAGTTATTATATGTTTATGTGTTCATTTAGCTGTGTGTGTGTTCATGTGCTGCTGTAAGTACCCTGCAAAAAATGGGACTAATCCGGGATGACTCCGGGAGCAATCGCAAAGGAGCATGCGACTAATACCACTTTTGATCTCTTTATATGGAATGAACTGATCGCTTTTGTTCGGGCATGTCCTATGAAGAGACTAATTGTTCACATTTATACCCGAAAGGGTATAAAAAGCGACTAGTCACTTTTAAAAAATAAAAATAAAAATTTTCGCCAGCTGAGATTCGAGCCGGGGTGCTCAGTTTTATTAGGCGAATACAGTCTCTCTGTGTGCCAAAGCCGCACATGAAATTTCATTGACTAAGAGCGTACATATCATTAAATCGTTAATAGTACCCGTTAGAGATGTGTTGGAGACTAATTGATCTCCAATTATACCCACAAGGGATGAGTCGAGACTAATTGACCTCCATTAGTACCCGTATGAGACTAGTTGGGACTAATTAATGCCCAATTGTACCCGATTGAGAGTAATCTCGGAATACTCTCTTTAGAGATTAGTCGCACAATTTTTTGCAGGGTAATTCAGCGTTTCCAAAAACAAAGAATAATAATAATTACTGCCATCATGGAGATAGATGTATGTAAGTAGTTTTATTATCAATTCTGCTCTTATGTAATCAATAAGTATATGTATTTCTTTCCATTTTTTGTTTATTTTTTATTTTTAACTCCAATAGGAATCTATAAGTATCAGCGCTCATAGAGAATCATCCTCAGAAATTCTTAGGGCCGAAATCACAGTGCTTAGTTAAACCATTGTTAACTTAACCACCAACAAGAGTTTAATTATGAATTTATATTCAGAGTCACATAGTTAACTATGGAAATTCGTATCGCCTGAAAATATACAAATTCTTAAAATCAATACTTTTCTATTCAAATTTGAAATTCGTTCCACAAAAAAAAATGTATTTCACAAGGGTTTAACTATGGGGGCATGCTGGTTTAAACTTTTGGTAACTGAGCGTTGTGAATATGAAAATCAATAGTTAAACTCTTATCAGTGGTTAACTACGCACTGTGAATTTTGCCCTTAATAATTCTGCTATCGAAGAAAGAATTTATTCTGTGGAGTTCAAAGTTGTTGATTATAAGGGAAAAGGCAGGATTTGGGAGATATTTTGCAAAATACAAGATGAGGGGACGCAAAAATTATTCCCAATATGGTGTCATGCAAAATATGCAAAAATAGTACCTCGAACTTAGTGAAACATAAGAAACAGGAAATTACGAACCGATTTTAAGGATGCACCAATGGAAGCAGACGCCGACGACAAAAGGGAGGCTGCTCGACAATTTACAAAATGGACTGTGCAAAATTGTCGTCCGTTTAAAATAGTTGAAGACAATGGACTTCAAAACATTATTAAATTTTTTATATTTATTGGCGCAAAATACGGCGAGGGTTAAATTTAAAAAGTTTGTTGCCTCATCGCACAAATTTGTCGCAAAATGTCAATAAATTATATGATACCTACTTCAATGAAGTGAAGCTTGAAATAAATTCAATAAAAGGCAGTGGATTTTATACGAAAAACATATATTGCCCTTACAATTCATTATATATGGTAATATATATCGGAGACAATGTGATTCTTGTGTCGATACTCAAATTAAAGTTCAAAGGTGAGGAAGTTTTCCTCATTCCGATGATTCCCACCGATATGCCATTCGAGTTAAACGAATTCAATTTCCGATTCGTCTGGCATTTGTCATGACGATCAACAAATGATAAGGCCAATCCTTGAATGTTTTGTGGCCTATTCTATAAAATGAATGTTTCTCTCGCTGTAAATTGAGCGTAGTATGGTCACGTATCGGAAAACCATATGCTCTGTTCGTTCTCGCACCTGACAACAAAACGAAATTTGTCTTATATCACAATGTCCTTAAATGAAGAAAATCGACCCGAGTGCAATTTACACAGTAATTTGGATTTTTGTTCATTTATTGAACTTAATTCATTTTGTGTTTGCATTTTATCATTATAAAAAAACTGAATTTAATGCAGCTAATAGGTTAACGCTACATTTATCAATTCTGAGTCGGTACGAGATTCGGCGGATCAGCTGGTGGTTTATGAAAATATTTCGGTTGTTCACACTTGCTTGGTTATCGGGTTGTCTAGTTAAAAAGTATTATTCTGTAGTGTAGTTTATTGTTGTAAACTGAATAAAAAATATAACCACATAACAAGATAACCTGAGAACCAGGTGAACAACCTCATTGTTTGTGCTAAATATATCATAGCCATATTAATCAAAGTTTCTAACTTTATACAAAATTTAGTAATGTTTTAATCTGAATTTTTAGAACATTTTTGGGTATGCAGTTATAAACATGCATAGATCATTAACCGCGTAGATATCTGATATATTTTCCTGTAGGCTTTTTTCACTTGGACATGATCACGCCCAGCAATTTTGCTCCAGTAGCTACTGAAATATTACGGTTTTTGCATTTTCAAAAATTCCGTTATATGGAAGGCAGATGCAGTCATGATCTGATTCCACCCATTTTCATTACTAACCTACGCTGGACAAATAATAATAAGTGAGCCAAGTATGATTGCGAAATCTTATTTAATTTCATAGAAAACGATTTTTGACCGTTGATCCACTGTGAAATTGAAAAAACGAAAATTCGATTTGAAAATAAGTTTCGTTGTTGACTAAAAGGTATGGAAGATAACATCCCTTTAACCTCAACAGGAATCATTTTTTCTAGTCGATATGATTTTATTTTTTATCGAATACTGATAGCGAGAAAGATTATGACGAAATTCATGTTTAATTCCATTTGTAACTAAAACTCTTTCATACTACAAAATCGAGCTATTTATTTTCTATCTGGAATAAAGTTCATTCAAATAACCAAAAATTTTCCAAATTATGATTTATATCCACAATTTAGTGTATATCCAAGTACTTGTGTATTTACCTTTAAATAATCAATTTACCGGCTCGGTATTTGCCCTTGTCCCTTCATTGCTTTAAAACCCATTGGCAGCTCCGTTAAGGAAAGCTGTTTTATGTGAGAATATTATTTAATTACAATATTTAAATTTACAATCCACCAGATCATTGGCACGAAACAGCTTTTGGTGCGACCTGAAGGAGGGTTTGCAAAGGATATTACTGTGTCTGGTTCGTCTGCAGCACCTCTAGTCGATGGCGCGTCATCACCTCCGCTTGCTTCACAGCATGCCGATGTAATTAACAACAACAATACCAACATATGCAACTCCAACACAATTGGGAAAAGTATTTACAACAACCCAAACTCTACTTTACTAATTAATAATAACTCCACGATCTCCGATGGATCGACGCTGAATAGCACAAATTTAAAAGCAGCACCTGGCATTGTGACTCCAACGCTACTTTCCGAAGAATTACCAATAGCCGTTGTACAGTCAACAGGGAAACCACTTAAAGAAGCCATCGACGAGGTATGTAATTGAGTTTAAAACTGCTTAGGTCTACTTCCATACAGAGTACATCCAGAGTAAAATATATAAATACAGAGTTCAGTAGCTCAGACTTAAATTTTTATAGCCCTAAACCAGACAATGTCTTGCTCAACTGGCTGAGAGTCAAGTAACCCGAGGGATTTCTAAATTAAGGGGGCAGCACACTCTCTTGTGTGACGTTTATTTACATTTCGACACCTGAGTGGAAGATCGACCTACCTCAGCAGCCAGTTCCTAAACGCCGTATTTCAGAATATGATTGAAGAAGGCCCTATCTCAGAGTTCGGTTCAAAAACACACATTTTCAAGTAAGATAGGGCGTTCTTCAACTAAATTCTGAGATAGCGTGTTTTTCAATAAAATTCTGAAATAGGGCGTTCTTGAAAAGTTTTCTGGGATAGGGCGTTTTCGAACTGCCTTAGCAGTTCCACTACCTTAGCAGTTAAAGTATCCATAAAAATCAAAAACTGTATCCAAATGTATCCACCGAAAAGAGCGGACATTTTTACCTAGTGCATCTATGGAAAACAAACTCAGCCCCTTATCAAACTTATTAACATGTATTCAGTATTTTCCCATCCTTAGACATGGATTTGGGAAACAAAGTCCCGTAGTTAAAGTCAAAATTAAGTCCACTCTAAAGTTAACTGCAGCTTTTTGTCATCATTTTCAATGGGATACCTGTCAAAATAGCTGCAAGAAACTTTAGTGTCGACTTAATTTTGACTATAACTACGGGCCTTTGTTTCGCAGATCTGTTTCTAAGAATGGGAAAATACTGACTACAACTACGGGCCATAGTTTCCGCATGTTCGATGTTTAATAATACGATTAGATTCTCGAGATTTCAGTTAACTACTACAGGTTGGAAAACTTATTAAAATTTGCAAACTACTTGGTGCTATTAAATGCACGCTTATGTAGCTAAAAATTTAATTTTTCAAAGTCACAAGAATAAGGGAAAATTTCTTGCTTGGAGAATGAACAGCCAACTGTTAAAAATGTTATAATGGCTCGTACATAAATAAATAAAAAAATGCCTTCAACTTACGAATACTTATGAAAAAAGGTATCCAAATTTACACTGAGGAAAAAAACGAAGTATCACTCAAAATTGAAGGCGAAAATGTATCCAAATTGATACATATGTATCAAAACGGCAACACTGGTGACTACGAAAAAATTTGTCGTCCCACTTTTACTAATAGCCGAATATAAAAAATATACAAATCTGTACAAATGTACCAATCGTGTGACACTGGTTAAGAGTTATCTTAATTGGATGGACCACTCACACGTTTGATGAATTTTAATCGCAGTGTTGAAGGTAGAAAAATCAATACGGTCATATATACATAAAAGGGAGGTTAATTTTTTCGATTTTCTTCAAAACTTCAAAAAAAATCATGGCCGACGAATTGAGAGAACGGTTTTACCTTACTATATTTTTGTCATGGTATATATAAATGTTGAGTAAATATTAATGAATTTCTTAGCCACACTGCGCAAATATATAAAAATACAGTACACAAACATATAATTTCAAGGCTGTATTTAAGAAAAGTTGCCTAACTTTGACAATTTTTATGCGATTTCAATTAATCAGTTTGTTTGAAAATAAATGTACTTTTAAATAGTACTACATATTTTGAAATGGTGAATGTTATCGATGGTTAAAATTAAAAAAAATTATGAGAAATATGTTTTTTTACCCGATAAAAGATCCCAACAAGCCAAGACCGATAATAGATCATTACCATTTTGAAGACCTATATATCCTCTTCTCAGACCGTATTCGATCTTTGAAATCGAATCAAAAGTAGTCATTCAAAAACCCATAAATCTACAAAATCCCATTTTCTATCATAAATCGACAGGTCGCGACCTCTAAACGACCTTCAAAAAATCTAAAAAATAGGCAATTATATTTCTCATAGAAAGGAACAAAATTAGGGGGTAGGGTCGTGAAATTTCCAAAAAAAAGCATTTTCGATGGGCACTCTAATGTACATACATATATTGAGCTACACATTTATAAAAAAAATGTTAAATATTAAATAAACAAAAGAAATATAGCCAAAACTGGCCAACATAAAGCGTTTCTATTATTGCCATCAGTATAAATTACAAATCCCGAAAATCCCGAGATTCTAGGCAAATAATCCCGGGATTTTCGATACTTAAAAAAGACCGGGATCTCGGGATCCCGGGATTAACATTCCTCATACATTTGTTTTTGTTACTTTTTTTTATGGCCTTAATAACAATTATATTCAACAATTTTTATGAGCTCGAGGCCGTTTTCAGGCTGAGTCAGTGGTGATGGTCGGTTCGAATCCTACTGAAAGAAGTCTGATGAGAAAATGTGGTGATTTCCGAAATAGCTATCACTTCTACCATTTTTTCAAATTGTTGTTGCTTTTCCTCAATAAGTTTTCACTGAAAACGGCCTCGAACTCATAAAAATTGTTGAATATAATTCCTAATACATACATATGAAAAATTGGGAGAAATAATGAAAAACATTTCTTGTAATTTTTCTTGAGCTGGAAAATAAGCTTAAAAATAATATTTTAATATGTATATTGTGAAAATTTGGAACTAAAAATCACGCAATTTTTTATTGCGCATTGACCGATTTTTTATTCCAAATTTTCGCTTGCGGCAAATTAAAAAAACACTAATTTTTAATCTCAGGGCGAATTTATATAAGGTGGTGTTAGATCAGCTGATTTCTTCACCTTACATGTATTTTGTTTTTGAGGCGAATAGAGATTTGACATAACATCCCTAAAACAAAATACATGCGGTTTTGATTTTGTGTTCTTGCTAAAAACTTGTATAACTTCGCCTTATTTTAATCTATAGTGAAAATTTGGATTCAAAACTCGCCTGATTTCTTTTTTCTTTGTAAAGATTTTTGACACATAAAGTTTTCGTATAACAAATAAAGTGCAAGTTTATAGTTGCTTAATTTTCGTGTTGAGTTTTGGCAAATTTTTTGCTGACGCAGTTTTTCTACATAAAAGTATGTATGCATACAAAAAAATTTTTGACATGCTTAGTATGTAAATATTGGAAAAGATAACAAAGAATCATAATTTGACAGTTTTTCGAAACTTTCCAGCTCGTGGGGCGACCGTAACTATTATTCCATTATTATTATTCCATTAGTATTATTAGAATTTCGAAATCGAAAATTAGTTCTTTCGCTCCTCCCTAATAGAGATTCATGTGGACAGTTAATTTAATTAAGGATTTACATTTAAAATTGTAATAGTAATGACAATCAACGCATCAAATTAATTACGTTTATTATAATTCCATTCCCAGTTCGATGAGTATTTACGCTCTCTAACACTAAACACCGACGATGCCGATAGTGTGAAAATTATCACCGACGGGCAACTTCCGCTGCGCCAATGCTTGCATCGAGAGGCATGTGCCAAAGACATCCTGCTGCCAAACTACTACAACCGCTTCTGTGATCTGCGTAAAGAATTTCTCAAATATAAATCCGGCGATTTATCACGAGCTCTGGTCCCCGTAAAGGACATTAAAAAAATACTCCAAATACCGACCGTCTCGCCTCCACAAAGTATCGGCGAAATGATGAAAGGTGAGGCATTAAAATGAACTAATATTATACATTAGGGTGGTTAAAAAAAAAAAGTAAAGTCTGACTTTTAATTCCCTCACCCCCTAAGATTGTTCTATATCGAATAAAGTATACCCCTATATTTTTTTATTTTGAAATCAAAAAATATTTAGAGATCGCTCAAAGTGTCCATGTATTTTATATGGGAAAAAAACAACTTTTCGCAGAAATGATATAGAATTTTTGAAAATCAATATTTTTCGATCGGAAAACTTTCAATAAAATACCCAATTATTTATTTAACCATTTTTTAATCCTAACGATTTTTTATTGGTCCCAAATTGCATTTTTCGGGGTTTTTGGCGGACCTATAAATTATAGTTACTATGAAAAAATCGTTAAATAAATAATTGGGTATTATTATTTGGAGTTTTCTGCAGATAACTATAGTTTTCCGATCGAAAATTATTGATTGATTCGAATATAAGAATTCTATACCATTTCTACGAAAAGTTGTTTTTTCCCATATAAAATACATAGAAAACTTTGAGCGCTTTGAGCGACCTCTAAATATTTTTTGATTTCAAAATAATAGTAGGGGTATATTTTTTCACTTTAGTTTTTTTACATATAATTTTGGACCACCTTAATATACATACGTACATACATATGATCCACACACAGAATATCTGGTTTCTATAGCCAAGCGAATTATAAAATTTAGTAAATGTTATTACTCCCGCCATAATCATTTTGCTCAATTTAGCATCCATCGTAAATCGGATAGCGTTAAAAGTACACACTACGGTGTGCCACGATCACGTTTAACCCTAAGGTTGTTCTACATCCGGGTTTCTTCCGGGATGTGTTTCTGGTAAGCTTCGGAAACAGTTTCCAATCAGTGTTGCCGCGAAACATTTTTAGCGGTAGCTAAATTCAGGCTAAAAAAGGGCTAAAAAAGAGCTAAAAATCGTCGTTGTCGATAAAAATGGCAGCTGAATTTTTTTACCTACATATAAATATATAAGTATACATGCAAACATTTTCTATAAGTAATGATACAGAAAAACAATGAACTCTGGAAAGAATTAATATTTTATTCAACAAAAAAACTTTTTGTGTAACACATAAAGCATATTAAGGGCCGCCAACTTACCTATTTTAAAGTATAGTTAAATCGTTAATGGATAAGATAACGGCCCAGAAATGTAAAAAACATACATAGCCATACATATGTATGTATAGTTTAAAAATTTATTTCTTTTATAAACCGAAAAATTAGATCACATTAAGAATACATAAGTACTAGAATCATATCTATATACAGTGTCGGACAATACTAAATAACTTAAATAATTTCAAACTATGCTTCGAAAAATATCCATTTGTAAAAGAAATTTTTAAAATGTTATGTTATAATTTACAAAGAATTAAAATGTCGGTGCTTTATTATTGTCCGACGCTGTATGTATCAAACAAACAAAAGAGTATTCATTTAATGAACTCATAGTAAAATAATTTAATCTATAAACATTTTTTTTATCACATTAAATATCTATATCTATATCAATACTATCATCGCTAAGCGATTCTTCGTCGTTACAATTTTGTCCATTTCTCATTAACCTGACGATATCATCTGAGTCAAACCACGCGAACTGAGTCAATGAATTTTCATTGATTTTCTGGAAAGTGAAGACAATTGTGGGAATCTGTAGATAATTATAGAACAAAAATACACTTTAGACAGTTTTTCGAAATTGCACTTCGTTTTTGTTTTTTTTGGTATTATAAGAATTTGCAATTTTTGAGAGAAAAATTCGTAACTCGCGACCCATTCGATGAAATTCCATGAAATTTTTTTTGAGAGTTGCTTTTCCCTTTACAATAGAAGGATTTGCAGAATAAAATTTGCAAAACAATTAATTCTTTAATAACAATAATTTAAACAACTGCAATTATTTAGATCTTCTAGGCCTGCGATTGCGTTGAAATTTTGGCAAAATATACTGTAAACTCTTGTTTTAAGTTCCAAAAAGAAAAAAATGGTCTTTCCAATTTTGACAGTCGCTGTCGATTTTTTTTCTTACCTTTAAGCCTTGAGTAAATAGCTATTTTCATATAAGCTTGCGTGAGTGATAGCATTTTTATGTTATTTAATGAATAATTATACAAGTACGTACATTATTTAACTTGAAACATCAATGTTTATTTACAACTTATGAATATAATAATCAAAGCTTAAAGGTGAGAAAAAAATAAATAGCGACTGTCAAAATAGGAAAGACCATTATTTTCTTTTTGGAACTTAAAAACAAGGGTTTATAGTATATTGTGCCAAAATTTCACTGCTATCGCAGGCCTAGAAGATCTAAATAATTGTTATTGTTTAAATTAGTGTTATTAAAGAATTAATTGTTTTGCAAATTTTATTCTGCAAATCTTTCTATTGTAAAGGGAAAAGCTTCAGTAACTCTCAAAAATAAATTCATCGAATTTCATCGAATGGGTCGCGAGTTACGAATTTTTCTCTCAAAAATTGCAATATTCTTATAATACCAAAAAAAAAAAACAAAAACGAAGTGCAATTTCGAAGAACCATCCAAAGTGTATTTTTGTTCTATAATTATCTACAGATTCCCACAATTGTCTTCATTTTCCAGAAAATCAATGAAAATTCATTGACCCAGTTGGCGTGGTTTGACTCATCTGTAATTTCAAAATCATGACAACATTTCTGCACATTTTTTAAGCCATATCTTACAGTTAATAAAGCGTTTAACATTGAAAAATTCATTTTATTTCTGTGCTTATTTTTAACGAAATTCATTATAGAAAACGTCCTTTCAACTTCTGCGTTACTTAAAGGTAAAAGAAGCAACCGATACACAGAGTTTACTAACCTGTCGGCCTTGAAAGCACTCGGTGCTCTTGTTGACAAATGACCATGTTAACGCTGGGATGCCCGACAACTTTTTACACGGTCAACGCCCGACAGGGTCCCCAGGGACACTCCTTATTAATATGGCGTGCGATGCGTGTAATTGTTTTTTTTTTTTAATCAAATGTGACCTGGTCTACGAAAAGGGAGCTTACGTGCGAAAACTAGTTTTCTGTGAAAAAGCTGTTAAAAGTAAGCAACTCGTTTCGTCAGTTTCTTATTATCTCGTTAATTGTTCTCCGCGCCGGACGTCCAGTAAGTGTTGTTGTTGGTCCAGTAAGTGTTGTTGTTGGTCGGAATATTATTATAGTTCATCGTGTAAGTTGCTAGTGTGGAACATTTAAAAAAGTAACACTGAAGAAGTGACGTTTACTGTTTCTGTTGATTATCGTCATGAAACATGAGTGTTGATGAGGAGTTCAGTGCCGTATACGGACAATATTTCCATGAAAAGGATGATGAAAACGATGATGAAAACTATGAAGAGAGCGATGATGATGAAGGCGAAGTATGTGTATCTCAGGCAGAAGATGATACCGAACAAACTTTTGTTAAGATGGACCTGTATGTTGTTGATGTAAAGGAGGAGGAGCTGGTAACAAAATTTCTGTCAAAAGATTGTTGTAATAATGAATGCCATACACTGATACCACGGGAAATGATCGAGAGTACGCGGAACAATTGTTTAGAGATGTCGAAACACGTCAACACGTAAAAAGATCTCAAGGAAAACGACAACAAAGAAAAATACATAAACTACTCAGCATTATTATTTTTGGCCCATAATACGTTTTTCTAGTGTATAATCATGTCTTTATAGCTTATAATTCAATGTATTTTGTTCATTACCAATAAATTATATTTTGTCGTATTTTTACTCTTCTTTCTCTACATTTTTAGTACACTTCTAAGCAAGTTAGGATTTTCCGCTTTTCACCACGTGAAAAAGCATCTCATCTTCCATCCGAATCAACCAAAAAGTGAAAATTGATTTTTTGACACCTAAGCCCCCTTTCCGTAGACCATGTCACAAATATTGTTATTATGTTCCTATTTTCAGTATAATGTTGCAGAATGGGTGTGGATATGATATATGGGCAAATAATATAACGTCGACTCAGAAAACGGATGTCGTATGTTACAAAACACGGTTTTGAGGAAATTGACTTTGAAGGTTAAGGTCCAATTAATCCGAAACTACACGGTAGATTTTTGTAATTTTTGAAGGAGACGTTGTTGGTGTCATTAGTTTTAAGTTAACATATTTTTAAATTTAATATCTCTTAAAGTTAATGAAGAAATTGACTTCTCGTTCCGTATACATTTGTCGTAAGTAGCGTTTACTCACCACTTTGTTTTGTCCATAGAACATACGACAATAATAAAGTATCTGTTTCAACGACGATGTTATAATTATATAAAAAAAAACCGGATATCTTTATTAAATAATGTTTAATTAATGTTTTTTTTAACTTAACGACGAGCACTCCTAAAAGTTAAACATTCTAATAATAGAAATATTAACAAAAACCAACAAAACCAACAACCACATGATCAAGTGAATTGCAGCGCAATAGCTGCGCTTGATTGTAGTTGGCTTAACAAGTGAAAAAAGTGGAAATAAGAAATAAGAATTAACAAGGCGAACTTAGCGCAGTGCGTAGGCAACTGACTGAGTCAGTGGGATCGTGGTTTCGAATCCTACTGAAAGAAGTCTGATGAGGAGATGTGGTGATTTCCGAAATAGCTATCACTTCTACCACTTTTTCAAATTATTGTTGCTTTTCCACAATAAGTTTTCTTTAAAAAAACGGCCTCAAGCTCAATAAAAATTGTTGAACATATATTTTTCTGTAAAAAAAACATCTGACCACACTTAGTACGGGTCATTTTTGTTTACAAGCTCCTTGCATAACATTATGCTATTGATACTGTCAATCTTAAGTTTATATCTTAGTTTTTATCAAAGACGGCGTTGAAAATTTGCGCTCTACAGCCGCAGAGCTATGCGGTAATGAAATTATATTAAAAACAAATTTTGCGAGATGCATGGAGCTATTCTCATTCATTCCATTTTAATAGAATAAAAATTTTCCCAAAACATATCAATATCCATATCGCTGGAAATATCAAGC